GTTGTGAGTTACCATAACATGAGGAACTGTATTAAAGGGTCGCAGCATTAGGAAGGTTGAGAACCACTGCTTTAGATGGTAGTGACATAAAAAAACAAAATAAAAGAAAAAAAAACAATGTCTGGATGTGACATGTCTTCATTTCTGTTCACGTGCGTAAAAAAAAAGCTATCACTTTCATATAAATTATTTTTTAAGATTTATTTTTATGCATATGAATGTTTTTGCCTGCTTTATGTATATGCACCATGTGTTTGTCTGGTGCCTATGAAGGCCAGAAAGGAGCATTGGATCCAGAAATTGTGGAGTCACGTGTGGTTGTGAGCAGGGATGTGTGTGCTGAGAACTGAACCTGGGTCTTATGCAAGATCAGCATTTGTTCTTAACCAGTAATCCTTATCTCCAGATTCTAATTCTATTCCAGTATTTTAGAATTCATTTTGTTTTATTCCTGTTTTCAGGATTTAAATTCTCTTTTCTAATAGTGATAAACTTAGCTCAGTTTATTTATTAGATTAATCTTCTTGTATACAACCCACTTCCTGATTACTATTCTCCTCTAGAGTAAATTCAGATTTATGGCAAATGTTAAACTGTCCAGATTTATTCTACCTTTGGTTCATTTGATTTCTCTATTATTATTTATTTTTAATTTTAAAAAATGTTAGTTTCATGTTGGTGGAAGCTCTTTATTATTGATGGTTTTTCTAGAACATGATCAGTTGGGCATAAATGATTTAGACAGTAAGAACACAACATAACCTTAATCACTCACACAGACAAAGGTTACATTGCTTTTAATTTCTTTTCTGATGACTTAGACTAGCCTAAAGCTTTGCTCTTAAGGATAAAGTTACTTTAAGTCATGCTAGACATAATTTTTTTGGATCATGAAAATTTTTCTCTCCTTGGAATAAAAGGGAATACATATTAGGCATCATATTAGTTTCTTTTCCATTTCTGTGATTGCAGTACCCTGACTAAAGCAACTTAATTGACTTACAGTTCTAGGGATGGAATTAGGGAGACAATTCATCCTTGGCAAGGCAAGCATGATGGTGGGAGCTTGAGGCTACCCAGCAGTCAGGAAGCAGAGTAAGGACAAGATGTAGGGCTTGACTATAAACTCTCAAAGCCTCCCCCAGACCTTACCCTGTGACACATGTCTAACAAAACTCCACCCTCCAAATGTTTCATAGCCTTTCCAAATAGTGCCCCCATCTGGGGACAAAGTGTTCAAACATAATCTTACAGGGTACTTTTTACATTTGAATCCCAACAGTGCCACAGCTCCTAATTCTTTCCAAACAATTCTACTACTAACTGGGGATCAAGCATTCAAACATATAAACCCATTATCTTTCAAACCACCACATACATAATTTTTGAAATGTATAATTTGAATATTGCCTTATTTAGCTCTGTTTTGCTACCATATAATATTATTCCCTGTTCTTTCCATTAACCCTGTTCCTCCATCTCATATCTCCAGTCCAGCTCATCTAAAAAAAAAAAAAAAAAGAGTTGGAGTTGTTAATTATTGAGATATTTATTGACCTCTAAAGTTATCTGTAGGCCACTAATCAAGTCCTAATCAAGGTATTGAGAGGAGCTTTTATAGATTTGATTCCTACTCATCTTACATATTTTTTTTTTTTTTGGTTTAATTTGAAGTAAACCTAGAAGTTCTTAGTTGATATATCAGAGGACCAAATAGTGTGTACATTTGACTCTGTGATAGAAGTTATCTTACCTTTTCTTTTGGTCCTCATGGTTGGGGAGTATGTTGCTTCTCATTCTTTGCCCCTGTCTATTTGTAGAAACCTGAGCATTCTTTCAGTATTTAAACCTCTTTTAGAGGTGCAAGAATGTTTATTTCAATAACGACCATAAGGGCTACTTTTTATTGCCCTTTCCACTGAAGTGCAGTCACCTGCCTAGGTGAGATTTGTAGTAGAAGGAATAGGATCAAACCTTCGTTCTCTACAGTGGCATCTGGGGACTGTCTTGGCCTAAGGCAAATGCTACTCACACCGCCTCAGTACAGTAAACAGTTATTGCTTGTCTATTGTTCCTGGTCTTTCTTGCCTGCTTGAATAGAGAAAACCAAATTATCAAAGAATAGATACCTTAAAGACATTCTTGTGTAGGGTATTTATTTTGGGAAAGCCAATTGCAGAGGCATTCTGTAAGGGAAAACAAAATTTTTGTAAATACAGAAGAGGGGGGAGTGAAACGTTTTATCATTATCAAGTGTATTCTAGTCAAAAAAGTACTTCACTTAAGTACATCCTGTAAGATGATGGAAGTAGGCTTAGGTCCATGTCATCATTGCTTCTCATCTTTTCCTACCAAGCAGAACTTGTCCAATCCAGCACATTGTAACTTAAATATTCATTTGGAATTTGCATTCTATACCTTATTTGTGCTTATTTTAGTGCAAAGCGGTATGAATTATTACTCTGTAAATTTGGTACTTTTAAAGATTGTTGTTTTGTTGTTTATCAGACGACTGTATGTCCTTCTAGCATATATGGTCTCTTATTCCTGTTTTTGCTCCAAGTTAGAATTTCTAAGACTTTCTGCTATTGATCCCTTATGCCTAAATTTTCAGGCAAACATGGGTATATAAATGTATAAAATATGTTTACAAATCAAAATTAACTTCCAATAAATAAATAAATCATAACAGTTTTAAATATTTTCTTGGTGTATGCATATTTTGCCATGTTAATTAAAGATTAATATAAATTTGCACACTAATAAGATGTACCTTCTTATTTTATGTAGAATTCTTGGCTGAATATTTGATACTGCAAAGTATAGTACTTTTTCAACATTTTTCAGGGTTTACCAATATTTTTATTTTAAAAATCAACAGTGTTGAGAATGCCACTTTACATAAGTACATTGTGTAAAATGGCAGAAGTAGGTTAAGGTCCATGTTAGATATTGTTTGAAATAATGTCCTAATACCAAGCCAAAGTTCATTTAATAATTTTTCATGAAACTCAGATTATCCATCCATAGACATTCTTAAAATCAAATATTCTTAATACAGTCCATAGATACAGTGTTCTTTTTTAAAGATTTTTTGTGTGTTTGCATAAATTTATATATACCATGTGTGTGCAGATGCCTAAGACGTCCAGAAGAAGGCATTTGACTCTCTGTAACTGGAATTACAGATAATTACGAGCCACCTGGTGTAGGTTCTGAACCTATTACTGGCTCCTTTGCTAGAGCAGCTTGCACCATTAACTGTTGTGCCATCTCTCCAGCCCCAAAGATTCTGTAACTTGATATTTATGTACTTTTAATGGTAGGAAAATACTAAGTCCTATATGTTTCTATAAGAGCAAAAAACTTCGTAAGTACAGTTATCATACTATACTTTATAATACATTAATTTTGAATCTGAGCAGAGTTGCCTCCAGCTGCATTGGTTGACACTGGGTAGTGTGTTAGCATGTGCAGTACATAATATTCATATTCATATTGTATGTTCAGAACCAAGGCTGTAGTGAAGTTGTGTAGTACAACATTGAACAAATACTGACAGTAATACCCTGTTTATAACACATTTTATGTATATTTATTACACACATCTTTTTCATAACATATTTTAAAAATCAGACATCTACCAGTCTTGAAGATAAGTGACAATGAGAGGGAACCCTTAAGAACTCAAGTGTTATCTAGTGTATTATTTGTATACATTTTTAATTTTAAACAAAGTGTCTTTGCTACCAATTACTGGTCTCTTTCCTCAGTACTGAAACGAACTATGTTAGTCTTCTACTTTAGTCTCTTTTTTCTCCTCTCCCTTCCTTCCTCTCTCTCCTCCTATTCTTCAGTTCCCTGAATGTGTAATTCATCCTTAATGCGTAGGTCTTAAGAAGAACTTGGATCTTGATGTCAGCAAAATCTGGTTTGAAATCCTGGCTCCAAATTATTAATGTGCCATTGAGTAAAAAGTTCTTTAGTTTTCTGTGCCTTGGTTTATTTACTCCTAAGAATTTAACAATTCAGTGTTTTTATGAATCTCCTAGATTCTTTATAATGATTGATATCTGAAAGGCTATGACTTAATTACAAACTTTAATAAACCTGTTTAGTAAGAATACATGTACAGAAAGTCACACACAGAGAGATCTGTTAAATGGTATTGCTCAAAAATACTGATTCTGAAATTACCTATTTGGGAATGATGTCTATTCTAAGTAAAAACTGTCTTCTCCTTGAGTTTGATTTTGATAGGAGCATGTTTCATGTCAACAGTCAGCTAATGTGCTCTGTTAATTTGGTAGAATAAAAAGATTCATATATAATGAATATTTGCTTTCAGAGATGCTTATGTACACTCTCCTGCTTTTGCATTTATGCTGTTTTTGTGTTTTACGTAGAACTTTTTCCTGACGGTGTGTGTTAATAACTGAAAAAATTCCCTATCAGTAGACTAGCACCATCATGACAAGCCTGCTTCTACCTTGCTAATTGTTTCCTTGGGATTATATGGATTGTGTAGAAAGCTTTTTGCAAATCCTCTTATTACTGAAGTCATTGTTGCCAGCAGGAATAAGATTAAAGGTGCTTAAGTCTGTAGAGTTGTTTCTAATTTGTTCATGTCATTTCAGTGGCATTTTAACAGAACTCTGTCTCCTGTCCCACCCTTCTCCCCTGGTACTATCTCAAGTTAGGTCCAAGATGCCAGACCATTGGAAAAAAAATCTCATTTTATCCTCCTAATTATTATGCTGGCACTCTGGAGATAATTTTTCCCTTCATGCACTGCCAATTAATATGCAAATAAGCTGATAAATATTTATGTATTCATTTAAATTATGCAGGGAGTGCTTTCACTGTATTCTGTAAATGAATTGTTCCTGGACTTCAAAGTGCTAGCTGCTGTGCTAACGAGGAGAGATTTGCATAAGGCCCTAATCACACGCATACTGATTAAGCTTCATTATGGAAACTGCCAGCTGCAATCTTTGTTTCTATTTTATTACAAAAAGGGGAACTTTTCATGCTTCAGTTGCCTTGACAATGTCAGTCCTAGCTGGTAGAAGAGACTAAAACTCCTCTGAGCAACTGAAGTTTCCTTATTCAGTTGAAGATTGCTATGGTGTAACTGAAATTGTATTTTGCTTCTCTTGTTAATTCACTTTCCACTCCTCCCACCCTTGTTCTCATAAAGAACATAGTACAGATTTGTTAGAAATAGTAGTACCTTCTTCCCCACCCCAAACGGTACCTGTTCTTTCTTGCTTTGGACTGTCTGCACCTCCTGAAGATTTCACAGCAATGCTGGACTGCAGTGACTGTGTTCTAGGTGGGTACCAGCACAGTTCTTTTCTTACAGCTTTAATATGGAAATAGCATGTGTGGGATTGACTATGCATAAACGCTCAATCACATATGCAACCATCATTGGGGAGGGGAGAGCTTGAACAGAGAAGGAGGAAAGCATTTGCAAGGCAAGAGCATGCTTGAGTTTGCTGTAGGTCCCTCCCTTGGACTAGGTCTTCTGGTTCAGTAGGTATTTTCAGCAAATAATGTATTTGAATTTGACTTGCATGGAGGACAATTTTGCTTTTTGGAAATTTTTATAGAAAGTAGTATGTGTAGTTGAAAGCACATTTTAAATCAGAAACAAAATAGATACTATATCCAAATAATATATACGTACTAATAAAATGTTTTGCCTATCTAATAAGACTGCCTGATACAAAACCAAAAATACTAAATGAAAAATTAAAATTAAAGTAGTGTCATAATGCAGAAGGAAATTATAGTGGTTACTGCACTGTTGATCAGTTTCCAAATTTTAGAAGTTATAGGCCATTTTCAAATTTTGCCTTTGATTAATCATTTTGATTTCTTCAAATCAGCTGATTTTTAGGAATCTGCCATTTTAAATATGTGGAAAGCCTGTTATAGAGTGTTCTCTACAGAACAGGAAGTCTTTTGGAAAGGGAGATGTTCTGCTTCAATAAATGTAACATTTTTGTAGATAAAGTGGATTGAAGTACTTTGTACATGATGCCTCTCGGTGGCTGTATTTTGTGAGGAGTTTTTTAATATTTACATGAAGGATGATTGCACCTATTTAGGAAAGTCGTCTGACATAAACTCCAAGAATTGTATCTCTTAAGCTTAAACATTTGCAAAAGATTTTATTTACTGTGTCATTTTCCATTCTTGAAATTAAAGCAGTTAATGATAAAATAAATTGATATTTTCCAGAAATATCTGAATTCTTATACAGAATAAATGACTAAACTCAAGTTAATAGTACTACTTGTCCATCAGAGATAGTGAAAATGCACATGGCATACAACACAAGACGTTGATGTTAGTTAGGAAGTCAATCCAGTAGTAATTTATAGGCATGAAGTTAGACTAATTATATGATCAGCTAAGTAACATAGGCTTGGGCTTTTTCTATTAAAAAAAAAAACCTGTAAATAGCAATGAGTAATTTACTTGTATTTTTTTTTACATTTACCAAATTTGAAATTCAAGAAGTGAAAGAAAAACATCTTTTTGAACTATTTTTACCATTTATTTTTAAATGCCAGAAACTGTATCTGCTACTTAGAGTTGACACTTAGTGTCACTGAAACAGCCTTTTCATCATTGTATGGCTAATTAGAATTTTATTTATTATGTTTTGTGTTTGAAGTAATTTTGTTAAATGCTATTGAAGGTCTTGACAGTAAATGAAAGGTCCTAAGAAAAATTTTAACATACCTGTGACATAATTTTCAAATTTATATATAGGTGTAGAAATTAGGCTATGAAATATGTACGGTCAGGCTCATGATTTGTTAAGAATTAGGCTTCTTGGTTACTGTGGTATCTGAGCATGAGAAAATTATTACATCTTTCTATGCATGTTTACAGATTCATTATTTTTTCTGCTTTGTTTTAAAATATAAAAGAAACATTGAACATGTATATAAAGGTATATTTGAGGTTTGTGATATTTGTTGACTTTTGTAAGATTTTGGTTAAGTCAAACAGAAAGCTAATTTTTACTAAGTTGTACACCTGGCCCTTTCAAATAAGTGTACTTTCAGGTTGTATTTAAATTTTTCTGGGTAGTAGGGGAGGAAGTTGTAGAACAACCTCATTTATGACCACAAACATACAAAGTTTAACCCTTTGAACAAGCCAAGCCAGGGATAGCATAGAACTGCCTCAACCATAAGCCATGTATCAGTTACAAAAATTTACTGTATTAGAGAAGTTTTTACCCAGTGTCTAAAAAACTTATCACCCATTTTCTAGGTTATGAAACATGAAAGAAAGGTTTCTGATATTTTTACTCATTTCTTATACTTGTAGGTAATGCAGCTGTTGACAGCATGGTTGGGATTTAGAATGATTGTTTTGACTACCTAATTAAACATTTCCTACAGATGTTTTTAAAAAGTCAGTATAATACAGTTTGATTTGTTCTCTAATAATAACTTGGTTACTGGTTCTTAATGAGGAAGAAAAGGTAGAACTTACTTGATAATAGGCTTATTTCATGGCAAATACTCTAAATCTGTGGTAAATATAGAACAGAATGTCTATTTTGTCTGTTCTGTTCACCCTTTGGGAAAAGAAGCAGAGCATAGGTGTTCTTGTCTCCTTTCCTGTATGTTTTCTGAGCTTGCTAATAGTGGTTGACAACGTTTCAGTATGGAAACTAGAATTTAATACACTCAAAAGTAGCAGCCCTAAACCAGCAGATTAGTGTGTAACTGGGTGTGATTCTTTTAGAACTGTAGAGATTTCTGCTGCAATTTGTTAGCTTGTTTTTAATGAGGCTTGTATTTGGCATACCCCTGTGTTGACTCGTTTGGTTAAGGAAGTCAGATGGATGTTTCAAATCTGACTGTTATTATTAAGTGTGAATTTTTTTTTTTTAGTTATCATGAATTAATACCTTTGCTTTTAGAAGAAAATCATTTGGGAATAATAGTTCTTATTTTTTGAGGTGTTTCCTGCTTCCCAATTTATTTTAATATATTTTATTGTCTGTTAGAAAATATTTTAGCATGTCTGACTGTAATATCTTTTTCAACTTAGATTTTTTTTTCTTTAAAGAATCTTAAAATTTGTTAGATAATTTATTTATGAGTTTCTCTATGATTCAGGAGCTCCTGAATATCTCTGAGGTAGCCTTTTTATTCATTTTGTAGTGTTGTAGCCTGCCATATTCTATGCATGGGCATCTTGAAATTAACTACTGTCATATTAGTTAACCCTTGTTTTTGCTGTAACTTTGGCTCCTTAGCTTCATTTTCACCACTAGTTTTTTAAACAACGTTTCTGCCTTTGGTTTATTGTAGATTCAAGAATGAACAATCCGTCAGAAACCAATAAATCATCTATGGAGAGTGGAGATGGCAGCACTGGTAAGAAAACATTCCCTTTTATCTATCTTTTACATTAACTCTTAGAGAGCTAAAACAAGAGATTGTACACTTATCTGGACACATATTTGACAAATATAGAGAAATTTGTGTACTTGCTTATGAAGTGTGACTTAGTACTTTGGGGACTGAAATTATTTTTAACATTATCTAACTCCTCTGAGGAGGGCTTCACTTATCTGATTCCATCCATCAGAAACTACAGAGTACTTATCGAAATGGTCCTTTGGGACAGATATACCTAGGTCTGGATTATGGATTTGCCACTAACTGTGTAACTTCAGGCAACTTCCTCAGTCTTTTTGAGACTTAATTTATCCAGTAGGGATATTCATGGGTTATCATGAGTATTGAGTTAGAATATGCATTAAGTGTTAAAGCATCATATTCTGTTATGTTTCTTGGTTATAAGTATAATCAGAATAGGAGATGCTATCCATCCTGCCTTTGGTATATATTATGCAAAAGATATAACGGTGTCAGTGAGGAGTTACAGACACTCCTAATTCGTCCTTTCATTTTAATAAAATTTATTCTTGAAACAAACCTTTTAACAAGAGAAAACTGAGTATCATATAAACGAAAAAACTGAAAGTTCTCTGAAAGGTAAATCTATTTTTAAAAATAAGTGCAATTTGTCTCCTCAGCCCATCCTTGTAAGTCTGTCAGTTCATAGGACATTTGACAATATAACTCTGTCATCTGACAGATATCTTACAAGGATTTCCCCAATTTCTAGTAGAGGCAAAATGTAAAAGTATTAAAACATTAAGGGAATTGTAGGGAAGGAATTGTATAAAGTCATTGTAAAGTAAACTAGGTGTTTCACTTAAGAGAAAGGATTTCCTCTGACTGTTATTTCAAAATGTGCCTAACTGTGGGAGGTGGTGAGAGTGACTGCCACTCTTGAAATTCGACTGCTCCTGATCATAGGTAGAACCTTTTTTTAGGTTTTTCAAGGCAGGGTGTCTCTGTGTAGCTTTGGAACCTGTCGTGGAACTTGGTCTGTAGACCAGGCTGACCTCAAACTCCCAGAGGTCAGCCTGCTTCTGCCCCCTGACTGCTGGGATTAAAGGTGTACACCACCACTGCCCGGCTTAGAACCTTTCTATTTACAGTAAAAGACTGGGTTGACCCCCCCAAAAAAACTTTTGTGTGTGCACCTGTATGATTGCAAATTGTCCTGTACTTGGAGTGACTTGTTAACCTCTTCACCTCTGAAAAATAAGTACTTATTTATGGGAGACTGAGCTGGGGCTTTCATGTTCATCTTTGTCATATTTAATATGCTCCAGCTTCTCTTATTGAGGCTAGCCAAAGAGACTACCTGAGAGGCAGAAGAACCGCGTTGCTTTCTGCCCAAGTTACCAACTAACCTCCTTGTTTCTGTTCCCTATTTGGGGCCCTTCTTCCTTTATCTTGTAGCACTGATTTATGCTGACATAAGTACCATTGCCAAAGGAGTGGAACTTGTTTGCAGAGAATAATTAGGTAGTCAAACCTATGAAAAAGCCAGAGAAATATGGATAAAACTCCCACACCTAAAGAATAGCTTCCAAATTTCTCTAAGGGAAGAGAAATGAACTCAGAATAATTGATTACAGAATGTTGAAAATATCCACAATATCAGACCCCCTGGGAATTTCTATGTTTGCTTTTAATACCATAGTTTCTATAATATCATTTATTGAGTGCTTATAGTATTTAATTACAACCTTAGTTGTGCTTCTTAAAATCTTTAGTGCTATGTGTATTACCTGATTACAATTAAATTCTTAATGACCAGTTAGATAATATTTCAAGGAATAGGGAATGGAAGTATAAAACCAGAAAGGAAATAAAGTCAGGCTTAGAAATTGGACCCTATAAAAGGTTTTTCTCATCAACTGTAAATGTAAAATTGAAAATTTAAGTAATGGCATTGTTTGTGTTCAAACTTCTAGAACTATATAAGATATAAGAAATTCTGGCTGGAACACTTGTTGAACAATTTGTGACTTTCTTGCCTTGTGACAATATGAAATATAGCAGCAGACTTATTTTCATGGAGCTGAGAGTAATCACATAGTTAATTTTCCCTGTTGTGGTGGGGGGTTTTTGTTTTGTTTTTTGTTGTCTGTGTAACTCTGGCTGGCCTCTGCCTCAAGAGTGCTGGGATCAAAGGAGTGTGTCACAGTCCAAGAAAGATACTTTTTAAGGCCAGTAACATACTTTCCTAGAACTCCTTGCTTTTCCATCACTTGTAGTGGTGGTTAATATTCTCTTTTCTTTAAAAAAAAAATTGCATTTCTATAAGATCTCTGTTAATACAGTAACATCTATCTAGATCAAATATGAGCTGGTTCCCAGCCTGGGAAACATAGCAGCTCACGTGCTGTTTATCTACCGCATGTGCACTACCTTCATAGGCACAAATCACTTCCATTGTTTGGACCTTTTCGTTCACTTCAGAATAACATCCTTCATCAGTTTCTCAACATTAAGTAAAATCTGCTGCTATGTCCTTAGCACTCCCTCTTGTTGTTAATTTATTGCTTTAGAAATATAGACATATATTTGAGTTCTACTTTATTTATTAGAGTATCATGTTTGGTACATGAGAAATAAAATTAGTTTTTTTGAAGTAGGGCTATGCCTATAAACCCAACAGTTGGAAAACTGAGGCAAAAGCATTGCCATGAGTTTGAGGCCAGTCTAGGCTACTTAACAAGACCTTGCCTTGAATAAAGAAAAAGGGAATGGTGGGTGTAGCATTTGTGGCAAACTGATAAGGAAAGAAAATAATAGCTTATTTAGATGATTTTAAGCCTATATATTAATTTTCATTTGTAAATACAGTGAACGTACAAATTGTTTTCTCTTTCATTTGTTTAGTAATTATGATTTTTTGTAGTTTGTGTGGGAGTTCAAATTTTAAAGAAAATAACCTTGAATATTATATAAAATTGAAGTCTAACACTTTATAGATTCAGAAAACTTGTATTGATCACTATTTCCTGAAATGTTCACAGCTATAATAATTTTGAATTATAAGGGTTTAAGGGTAATGAGAGGTATAAAATTCAGACACATCTGACAATACATTTTACACAAATAAGTTTTACATGTTCTCAAAAACTCTGTGGTTTGTATTTGTTCAGGTTTGCGTGCTTTATATGTTAAATATTATAGTTGATATTATTGGAGACTCATTATTATGAGACTCTCAGTCTTCAGATGCTTAGCAATCCACCAAGTGTCAAAGCAGACAGAAAACTGATTCTGGACAGATTATGGTGAGTTATCCAAGAGCAAGTATAGAGAAACAACATGATATTGTTAAATGATATTTCTTTTTTGCCTTTTTTGTTTGTTTGTTTTGTTTTTTAATTTTTTAAAGCCAGGTGCTATAGTGCATGCCTTTAGTCCCAGCCCTTAGGAGGCAGAGGCAGACAGACTTACATAGTGAGTTCCAGAACAGCCAGAGCTACATAGAGAGACTCTGTCTCAAAAATAATTTTATCTATTCATTCATTTTTTTAACTTTATAAAATTGTAAAACATAAGTTGCAAAGAAATAGACACCACACACTGAAGTTAACCTGACTCAAAAGATTATATAACTCAATGAACTTCTATACAGTACATTATCCATTCTTGACAGAAGCTGTGAAATTCAACATGGATTTTATACTTCAATATCGAATATATTTTTGTGCAGTATCCACTACTACAAAAGAAATTCATGTCAGTTGGAACTAGAAAAGCAATTAGCTTTGTATCTCTTTTCATAATTTGTATCCATTACCTTCATTCAGTCCTTCCATACCGATTCTTTTCCTTTCTATGTTATACTGTGCCCATATGTACTTTTATTTACATATAACTGGCTAGATTCCACATATAAGGGAGATGATGGTCTTTTTCTTTCTGAGATTGTGTGACCTTATTTAATATTAGACAAAGTCCTATGAATTTTCCTACTATGATTTTGTGATCATATTTTTCTTCAGATTTCTTTTTGAGATTGTGTGAACTCACTTCATAATAATTCAAAGTTCACCCATTTTCCTGAAAATTTTTGATTACATTTTTCCTTAGAACAGAATGCTATTTCATTTTCTATAACAGGTTTTCATTAGCCATTCATCTGTTGATAGACAACTAGGCTAATTCCAATTCCTTGCTCTAGTGAATAAATCATCAATAAACATGTGTGAAGTTCTGGGTATGTGCCCAGGAGTGAAATAGCAGGATAATTTTTTCTTTTATTTGAGAAATTTCCAAGCCTATATCCACAATGGCTGTACTATTTTGCATCTCCTCTACCAATAACCCTTTCTCACCTCATCCTCTCCAACATTTGTCAAATTTATTAATGATAGCCATTCTCACTGGTATGAGATGGTATCTCAAAGTAGTTTCAATTTTCATTCCCTGATGGCTTGAGATATTAGACAGTTTAAAATAGTTATTGACCATTTGTGTTTCTTTCTTTAAGAAGGGTCTATTCAGTTTATTTGCTCATTTGTTGATTGGCTTTTGTAGTTCCTTGGTATTTCACTTCTATGCTTTGTAAATTCTGGAGATTAGCCCTTTATCTGTAATTGGTAATGATTTTCAGCCAATCTATAGTTTGTGTTTGCTCTGTTGGTTAAGTATTTCTTTGACAATTTTTAAATATACTTACAGGCCAGGTAAAAAAGAACCACCATTGAGGAAGAAAGTATACAAATTAAAACAAGTGGTTTGGAGACCAGAGTTCGGATCCCAAGAAACCCACATAAATGTTGGCTGGGTAGAGTGGTCTGCATTTAATTCTAACCTTGGAAGGTAGAAGTGGGGGTTCCTCAAAGCAAGCTGGCTAGTAAGACAAGCCGTATCTTTTAGCACTGTGCTTGATTCAAAGACTTTTACTCAGTGAATATGGTGGAAGAGTGATAAAGTATGATTCCCAGCATCAACCTCACATACACATGCATCCGTGCACATACAAAAACATG